TAAAAACTAGCCGGGTGTGGTGGCAGGTGCCTGTAATCCCAACTACTTGGGAAGCTGAAGCAGAAAAATCGCTTGAACCCAGGAGGCGGAGGTTGCAGTGAGCCGAGATCGCGCCAACGCACTCCAGCCTGGGCAACAGTTTGTGACTCCGTCACACACACAAAAAAGAAAAATTAGCTGGGTGTAGCCAGGTGTGGTGGCTTATGCCTGTAATCCTGGCACTTTGGGAGGCCGAGGTGGGCAGATCGCAAGGTCACGAGATCGAGACCATCCTGGCTAACACGGTGAAACCCCATCTCTACCAAAAATACATAAAAAATTAGCCAGGCATGGTGGCAGGTGCCTATAGTCCCAGCTACTCGGGAGGCTGAGGCAGGAGAATGGCATGATCCCGGGAGACGGAGCTTGCAGTGAGCCAAGATCACGCTACTACACTCCAGCCTGGGTGATAGAGCAAGACTCCGTCTCAAAAAAAAAAAAAAAATTAGCCGGTCATGATGGCGCTGCCTGTAATCCCAGCTACTCAGCAGGCTGAGGCAGGAGAATCGCTTGAACCCAGGAGATGGAGGCTGCAGTGACCCGAGATCACACCTGTCTCAGCTGAGCGTGAGACTGTCTCAAAAAAAAAAAGAGAAAACATGGGAAGTGCTTCAGGGTCTGGGAAAAGATTTTATGGATAAGCACAGTTAACAGAGGCAAAAGTAGACAAATGAGATTACATCAAACTAAAAAGCTTCTGCACGGCAAAAGAAAAAACAGAGTAAACCTATGGAACCTGTGGAGACAACCTATGAAATAGGAGAAATTGTTTGCAAACTATCCATCCAACAAGGGATTAATATCAAGAATATGCAAGGAACTCAAACAACTCAACAGCAAAATAATAAATCATCCAATTTTTAAAATGGGCAAATGATTTGAAGAGGAATTTCTCAAAGACTTACAGATGGTCAACAAGTATATGATAAAATGTTCAATATCACTAATCATCAGACAAATGCAAATCAAAACCACAATGAGATGTCATCTCACCACAGTTAAAATGGCTATTATCAGCAAGACAGAACAAATGAAGGCAAGGATGTGGAGAAAGGGAAACTCTATACACTATTGGTGGGAATGTAAATTAGCACAGCCATTATGGAAAATAGTATGGCGGTTCCTTGAAAAACTACAAATAAGGCTAGCGCAGTGGCTCACGCCTTAGTTTCAACAGGTTGAGAGGCTGAGGCAGGCAGATCACCTGAGGTCAGGAGTTCGAGACCAGCCTGGCCAAAATGGCAAAACCCTGTCTCTACTAAAAACATAAAAATTAGCCGGGTGTGGTGGCACACACCTGTAATCCCAGCTACTTGGAGGCTGAAGCAGGAGAACTGCTTGAACCCAGGAGGCAGAGGTTGCAGTGAGCCGAGATCATGTCACTGCACTCCAGCCTGGGTGACAGAGCCTGAGACCAGCCTCTGTCTCAAAAAAAAAAAGAAAAACTATAAATAGAATTACCATATGATCCAGCAATCCCACTAGTGGGTATCTATCCAAAGGAAAGGAAATCAGTTTATCAAAGAGATATTGGCACCCTCATGTTTACTGCAGCACTATTCACAATGGCCAAAATATGAAATCAACCTAAATGTCAACCTAATGTCCATCAATGAATAAATGAATAAAGAAAATGTAGTACACAGACACAATGGACTCTCTTATTCAGCCATAAAAAAGAACGAAGTCCTGTCATCTGTGGCAACATGGATGAGCCTGGAGGGCATTACATTAAGGGAATTAAGCCAGGCCCAGAGAGGTAAATACCGCATGTTCTCACTCATCTGTGGGAGCTAATAAAAAACAGATCTCAGTTGGTTAAAATCAGTAGGCTGACACCTGGGATTACCAGCACTTTGAGAGGCTGAGGTGGGAAGATCACTTGTGTCCAGGAATTCGAGACCAGCCTGGGCAACAGAGACCTCCTATCTACAAAAAAACAAAAAATCAGCCGGGCATGGTGACACATACCTGCAGTCCCAGCTACTCAGGAGGTTGAGGCAGAAGGATCATTTGAGCCCAGGAGGTCAAGGCTGCAGTGACCCATGATGGCACCACTGCTCTCAGCCTGAATGACAGATTGAGACCCTGTCTCCAAAGAAATTAAAAATTAAAAAAAAAAAAAGGGCCAGGCATGGTGGCTCATGCCTGTAATCCCAGCATTTTGGGAGGCCGAGGCAGGCAGATCGCCTGAAGTCAGGAGTTCGAGACCAGCCTGGCCAACATGGTGAAACCCTATCTCTACTAAAAACACAAAAATTAGCGAGGTGTGGTGGTGCACGGCTGTAATCACAGCTACTTGGGAGGCTGAGACTGGAGAATCACTTGAACCTGGGATACGCCGGTTGCAGTGAGCTGAGATTGTGCCACTGCACTTCAGCTTGGGCAACAGAGCGAGACTCCATCTCAAAAAAAAAAAAACTGATCTCAGCCAGCCTCGGTGGTTCACACCTGTAATCCCAATACTTTGGCAGGCTGGGCGGGGGGGGATCATCTAAGTTCAGGAGTTCAAGACCAGCCTGGCCAACATGGTGAAACCCCATCTCTACTAAAAATACAAAAATTAGCCAGGTGTGGTGGC